CTGCATCCCGCGCCGCAGCACGCCATAGGAAACAGGATCTATTCTCTTCACCTCCAAGCTCGAGCACCCAGACCCCATGGAGCGCATCGGCGATTTCCACGTCAAAGAAGAATCTCAAGGATATCATGAATGAAACCTCGGGCAACCGGATCTCGAATCTCAGCCTAGGCATGTCTGCTCGTCGAGAGAGTACCAGTAACCCTGCGCCGAAGATGTCGCAGAAGGAGCGCAAGAAGATTCAGCAACAGCAGATGCAGGAGATGCTTGCTGCTCAGCAAAAGGCAAAAGAGGCGCCTGAAAACCCGTGGAAAATGACCACCCCAGGCAAACCTGCTCTTATAGCGAGTGGGCTTGGTAGTCCTGTTGCAGAGTCTTCGAAGGCTTCTCCCAAACCCTCCATGACCCTCCGCCAAACTGTCGCCGGGACGCCCCCGGCAGCCCGCACGAAACCCAGCTCCATCCCCGCGCAGACCCCAGGCCGTGGGGGACCCGTCAATGTTCAACAAACGCCCTCGCGGCCTCAAACTTCGAAACCCATCACCCCAACCCCAGCCTCCTCCAATCCCCTCGCCACTCCCCAGCCGGCTATCCAGTCCATCCGCCACATCCCGCGCCCCGAGCCATACCAAACAAGTTTTCACTCTCCTTCCTCCAGCTCCCTCTCCCTCGCCACGATCCTCATGCAACAACAAACCGAAAAGGACGAGATCCGCGAAGCAGCGACCGCAAAACACAATCTCGAAGATATCCAACTCGAGCAAGAATTCCAAGCGTGGTGGGATAAAGAGAGTCGACGCATCCAGGGCCTCCCGGACCCCGACACGACGGCCCCGTCCGCCGCCGACAAAGAAGAGAAGGGGACCTCGCGGTCAAATCGGGGCCGAGGCAAAGGAAAAGGAAAAGGGCAGGGCAAAGACCCAGGTCAGCAGCCACCGCTACAGCAGCAGCAGCAACAGCAGCAACAGCCCCCGCACCGCAAAAAGCGCGGAAAAGGCCCTGCTGGTTCGGCAGACGCATCGAATTCGTCCGCACAACCCCAACCTCCCCGTAACGAATCTACCACCATGATCACTCCCTCGGTACAGAACGGCCATCATCCTCATCCAACCCCTCGTCGTGACGCTCAACCTCGGACCATTCCGAACGGGAATCATCTCGATGGACCAGGAGCCGCGGCCGGCGGATCCAGTGGAAGCGGTGGTTCACGACGTGGAGGTAGAGGTGGTGGTAGCGGTGGCAGCTCTCGTGGACGCGGCAAACCTCGGGAAAAGACCTCCGCGTGAAATGGAATCTCACACAACTCACACATCTACATACATACACATATACAAACAACATCCTGACCTGTACCACCTCCCGGCGGTGTGTGTGCGTCAATAACGTTACACCCCCGCATGTTGTTATGAGCTTTCTGCATAGAATTCTTTTTTACCTTTCGGTTTAGGGAAGGGAACTCTTTCTCCCGCAATGTCATAATAACAATAGACACACTACTTGCACCACACAAGATATGATATCCATCTCCTCTCTATATCTCTCTCTCCCTAATCGACCTAGTGGATTATGTATTGCGTGACTTGTATGAAAGTGAAACACCGCCTTATCTAGATAATGAATTGAACGGACTCTTGAGAACTACATTCCGCTCATATCCATTCGAACCGAGGAATAACGAGGAAATTATGACACTATGATATATTCTCTATAGCTATCGCAATAACTCGGCATTGGTGGTGAAACCAGAACACAGGTCCAAGAAGGAGAACTTGCGCAGAGAAGAGCAAAACAAATTGAAAAAAAAGTCACCAAGATGGACTAGATGGGAATCAATCAACAGGGAGCGATACAGATACTGAAAATGACAATTCTTCAATGAAGGCGGGCATTCGTCGTAATCAATATGACCAAAGTACTAACGGCAAGAAATAATCCAAACTATTAGATCATCGCTATAGAATTAGTTAATAGGTTGAAGAAGTGGGCAAGACTTCAAGGGAACTAGGCTAATGATGAAGTAAACAACTCGGTAATCTCAGAATGGACCCAGAAGCATGCAAATCCATGGGCGAAATGTAATATGGAAGCTGTTCGAAACGCTAACAGAAGAAGAACGGCAACCCCCTGCTAACACCTTGTACACGACGAGGGATGATATCGAATGGGGGAAATATGGTAAAAGAGATGTAATGAAAGAAGTATAATTGTACAGAGAAGGGTTCGTTCCGCTCGTTCATTACTAGCCAGCTGTCGCTACTTCCCGACTTTCCCAGATGCGACGCATCATGAGTTCGGTTTCGTCGGGGTCTTGTATTGTTTCCGAGCCCGGCACTCTTGCCGAGGTGGCAGGGTCGGGGTGGGCGGCTTCATCGGATGTGGAGAGAATGCGGTGAGAGGGATGTTGGGATTTGCTGCCGGAGGGGGGCGGGTCGGTGGGCTCATTCACGAGGTCGTCGGGTTCTGGAAGGTAAGTCTGAGAGACGGATGTATGCATGTCCGCATGCTTTCGTCCGATTAATTGTCTGGGTTCGGGGCTGACGCTGCCTTGGCTGCCGTCTTGTTGTTTGCTGTCGCGGAGGTGAGTTAAAGCTGGCGCAGATTTGATGGGTTTGCCAAGCGACGAATGTCGGTCTAAGCTAGAAGTCGCGCCTCGTGAATCATTCAGAATGGCATTTAAGCGCCTGAAGCTGTCGCCGGTGGGAGACTGGAATCGGCGGACAACGGTCAACTCCAGGGTAGTTTTCTCGTATGCTTTCCGAACGTGCTTGGTTTCATTGTCATGTACCGTTCCACTGGCTCGAGCGGATCCGTTGACAAGGCCTCTGCCCGGCTCGAAAGCCCCAGCGCCCGGTCGGGTGTGAGGTGCAGCAAAGATCGGGTCCACGACAGAGGGGGGGGCTGCGGTGGACACGCCGTCGGGCGGTGATGTGTTCAATGCTGCAGTTCGCTGTAACCACAGCTTTTGCTGTGTGCGAGAATGGGGTTCTGCGCCAGCGGGCCTTGAAGGCGGCGACGCCCGTGGCTTTTTCGTACTAGTTGCGCGATTTGGCGATGGTGGAGTTTGGGGATGATAGTGTGGGAGGAAAGAGGATGGAGTGTTTGGATCCGAATCTATGCGGGAGAATGAATTCGTCGTTGGTTTGTTATTGATGATAAATTTGGAGACGCCGCCTTCGATGGATGAGGACGTAGCATGGGTTGGCGTGTTCGCCAACGTGGTGATAGACGAAGACATCGGTCGTCGGGAACCGTCATGGCCAGACGCTAAGTTGGTCAGGGATACATTGCGAGAAGACTGATCCATCACGGTCGGCTTGACGGTCGCAGAAATGGAAGACATGGCCGGTGGTGCTTTGGCAGAGACAGACGGACCCAGAATCCGCGATGCGATGACGCCGTTCTCACTAGGGCGGGTAGTCTCGACGGGTGTCTCGTCGGAATCGGACGGAGGTTGCTGTGCGGTTTCTTCGTGGTCGTGGTCGTGGTCGTGGCCGTGGTCGTCGTGATCTTCTTCGTCGGAATAGTTGTCGTCACCGAAACTCTTGCTCGTCGACTCTGGCAGGCTGGTGGCTCGAGGAAATTGCGGGTAAGAGCGCTTGACGAAGGTAAGGGGGTCGACCAGAACAGCAGGATTCTCCGCACTCTCTTTGGATTGTGCCACCGAGCTGCGTCTCGTGCTTTCAGGCGACTGCGTAGTATCTTCCCAATCAGCTTCGTCGTCGGAATCCGCCAACTCAAATCCCACGGTCTTCTTCTTTCCGGAGCTCGTATGTGGACGGTCGGTGACCAGCGCTTTCTTTCCGAGGACGACTGACGTATTGCGTCGAAGGGCCGGACTCGAATTGTTCTTCTTCATTGATCCTGTTGTGGGGTGTGATTGTTCCGCAACTCCATCCCAACGAACGTGATGCCCGCGCGGGCTAGCGGCAGGTGTCGCAGGGGCGGATTTCTTGCGCTGATGCACGCGAGCGGTAGCTTCAGGGCCTATTTGTTGGCTGGAGAGGTGTCTTTGTAGCTTGTGCAGATTTTTGCCGAAAGAGGGGTTGCGGTGATGGTTGCGATGGCCCCCGCCGACTAGATGGGGACGATGGGGCCTTGAGGGGGCTTTCTGGGTGGTGTTGGAGGACTGGGACTGAGACAGCTCGCCTTGGTTGGAAGGGGTGCGCGTGACAACGGCGTGAGAGGAAACCGCACGACGGCCCAGTCCGGGGCGCTTGACGGGGGAAGAAGTATTGGAAGTCGGCATGGCGGCCGTGGCAGAAGAGGAGAAAGTACGTAGTTGGTACTTGTGGTTAAAAAACAAAATTCAAAAAAAGAAAAAACAAAAAGAAAGAGGCGTTTAAGGCTTAAGCAAGGAAGGACTGGCCCCGATCGGGTGACGAGCAGCAGCCGGGAAGTTTCCCCGATTCAACGGCGATTGGAGGAGGCATCCACCAAGTGATACAGCAGATTGTATGTATCCGACGGGGCGGGTCAGTGAGCAGCAGAAGTGGTGTTGCTTTTAGTCTCTTGGTCTGTGGTGAAGAAGTACTGGAGGGGTTAAACGGGAGAATGAGAGAAGAAGAAGGGGAGAGAGACAAATCGGTGACGGTCCAGATTCCCGCCGATTGCGGGGGAGACGCAAATGACGCAGAGTCCGGTTACACCACTCGCACCAGGGAACTGAGCTGGTTGGCTATGACAGAAAGAAAGAATGAAGAATTAAATAAAGACGGGAAGAGCAAAATTGCAGAGCAAAAGTGACTTTAGGAGGAATGGGGATGGAGGGGAGAGTTGCAATTAGATACGAGAGGGGAGAGGGAGAGGGAGGGAGAATCAGCGGGAGGGGAGAAAGGAAAGAAGAAGACGTGGAAGAAATGAAGAAGGATTCCCGAACCAAGAAGAAGAACCAGCAAAATGGAACTAACGAAGGAAGGAAGGAAAACTGGAAAATAGAGAGTCCAGACCAGCAAACCAGGCCGGATTTGGTTGGCCTCGCCCTGTGGAATTGAAAAGCACGAAAGCATCGCCACTCCTGTATTATTACTTTACTCATTCTCCTATAATCATTCATAGAACATCAACTCAATTTCGGGGCCTGCAAAAGTAACCAATCCATCTGGTATCATTGTGCCAAAAGCCTACATAAAACATAAAGAATAAAACACCAATCGAGGAATCGTCCCCTCCTCCAAAACCACAACTTGACCGCTCCTCACCGCACTGACCACTCACCCTATTCACCCTGTCCACTCTACAACTCAATCAAACTCTCCTCAACCGGCGGCCGGGATGGGGCTGTTTGTTGATATGATGGATGCGCACCAGGCACACTACCAGAAGGATATTCTCCTCCCTGTGGGTTGGGATGTGTTGGAATCCCCTGTGGATATCCTGCGAAAGTTGTAGGGCCGGGAGAAGGCTGTTGTTGACTATAGAATGACGATCCCGACGGGTCCGCGGGCTGCGGCGGCTGCTGCTGCTGCTGCGCTGACGGTTGACCGCCAGGTTGCATCGAATTAGGATCCGGAGGATAGTGCGAGTAAGCGGGGGCCGACACTGGGTCTGCCGGGGGTGATTGATCCGGGGCACTCGGAACGCCCGGGGCCGACGGTTGATAGTGAGAGTCATGTCGCATCACAGGCGACGGTTGATAAGGCGCCTCCGGCTCCCCATGCCGCGGTTGCTGGTATGGACTCGGGTCTTGTTCCGGGTGCGGTGGAGGTGCATAAAATTGCGTGGGTGGCGCATAGGGGGAAGGATTGCTAGGGGGTGCCGCATTGGCGCCGCCTATGTGAGGTGATGCCACCGCATGAGGGTTTCCAGTCCACGGCGCGTTGGGTGGCATAGTTTGAGAGGGCTGTGGGTATAAACTCGGGCTCATGGTCCTGGCGCGTTCTCTCTCTGACGGAGGCTGCGAGTAGGGTGTGCCGGAAGGCTGGAAAGTTTCGGTGACGTTGGGATTTCCATAATAATAGTTCTCGGTGCCTGACTTCGCCTCCATTGCGGGAGCGGGCATTGTGGGGTAGATATTGGGATATGGGGATCCGCCAGGGACCCCCCCATAACCCAAGTTATGTTGAGCGTAGGCGCTAGAGAGACGTTCCTCTAGCATGCGGTCATAGTAGCGAACGACTGTCGAGAGCTTGGCATGGAGGTCCAGCAAAGTGTCTACGCCCGCGCCTCATTAGCTGCCGCGACAAATCCTCCAAAACAAACAATATACGTACCGTGCTTGCTCATCGTTTCTCCATAGCTTCTAGCCAACTTAGGCCGGAGCGCTCCAATGCTCTCATATAGTTCCTGAATCTGAGGTTCCCGTAAAATAGTGCCCGGGGGCTGATGTTGCAGTCGGTCAACGAGAGCTGCGAAGAGATGGATGTTTTCGACTTCCACAAGGCTAAGCTCATAGGGATTTTTGGGGATCGGCGCCACCCCTGCGCCCGCATGAGTCGACGTATCAGCCACCGGGGCGTTCTTGAGGGCGGCTGCGTGCTTCTGCTTGTGTTGTTCCATATCCCGCAATGATGCCTCGATGGCAGCCTTCAGGTCGGCATCTTCCTCTTCCTCTACACCGGGCTGACTGACGGCTTTGGGAGGTTCCGGGACGATCTTGTTCTGTGGAACGTAACCGCTTGAGCCCCTATTTTGAGCCTCCTCTAAGCTCATTTGCAAAGCACGACGCAAATCGTCATCGAAGCCGCTCTCCGCTCGTCCCCCACGAGGCTCCATGACGCTAGACTTGGTGATTGAATTGTTCTTGAATGCAGATCTATCGGAAAGGGCCGCAGATGAAAAGGCCTTCGAAGTCAATTTGGCGTAGCACCCGTCGTCCACTCGAACAGGCTGGAGGATTCCGAGATGAGGCAAAGGAAGCGTCTTGCTGGAACACTGTGCATCAAAGACATTGCCGCAGTTGCGACAATGATGCTTGCGGTTCATGAAGCTGAAGGCAGTGCGACAGCGCATACAGACATCGGAGTCAATCCATTCGGGCGGCTTTGGCAGGAACACTCATGTCAGTTCGAGGGCGTCGTAGCGATCACAGTACCAAGGCCAACTCACCGCACTGCTTTCCAGCATGCTTCCACTGATTTGAGTCTTGGGTGGAAACCGGAAGCCTTCATCCTGAAGCCTCCGATAAGTTTCACCAACATAGCTCAGATCCATACGGCCTTGAGCTGCCATGGCCCAGTCTTGTATCAATTCTAACATCTTCGCTTTCACTTCGTCATTCAGTGGGAGGCCCTCGGTCTTGAGGAGGGAGACGAGGTTGTCCATAAACTCCCGGGATGCAATCTCCGCCAAAAAGTGAGTACCGCCATTTTTCACACATGTGTCTGTCAGCTGCGATGCATTTCACCGTCAGTTCTAAGCTAGACCCAGGGCGGAGTGTGAGGAGGGTAGACGTCTTGCGACTCACTTTCAAGGTCGCTAGTTGGATGTTCGGATTCTTATTCTCAAGCCGCCTCTTCAAAGATCTCATCGCCTCCTTCGGTTGAACGCTCTTTGATCTTATCAGGTCGGAAATTTCGAGGTTGAGAGCGATGTCTTCCCTATTGGCGTGTCAGTGAGTCGTAGCATGTGATTGACCGCAAGCCAAGGCAGCATGCTGAGGGAACAGCCATAACTTACAAAGACGAGGCAGTCGCCTTCTCAACCTGATCATCGAGCGAAGACGCTGACGAAAACCACCCCGCCATGTCGTGATGGTGCGCAATTGACGATCTGCCGGGGACGGCGACGAAGGTACCAGATGGCTATGACGTTGGGCAGCAGCTGAAGAAGCAGCAGCAGCAGCAGGAGAAGGAGGTGGAGACTGAGACTTGGTGAACAATCGGAAGGGCTTTTTCGCGCAGAATGAGAAGAGACCGATAAGAAAGGGCGATCAAGGCAGCAATAGAGACATAACACTGAGCTCCAGGCAGATCGAATGCATGGAGGGATAATGTCGGGGGGAGTGTAAGTAAGGTAAATGGGAGGTAACCAAGCTTACCCTTAGTCTAGTACTGGTAGGTACGCGGGAGTACATAAGTTACCTTCCATGGGACAAGCATGTTGGCACGGGCAGTCCTTAGTCTAGTTACGGAGTAGTTATTAGTTATTGGCGGGGGCGGTGAGTCAGCGGGGATCAGGCCCCAGGCAAACAATGGTAAGTACCCGTAACATGTGGCGTCATAGCCTAACGAGGGCGGTGAGGCGGCGAAGTGGGCATCATTCCTGCGAATCCATTACCGTACTGTACATACACCCACCCCATCATACAACATCCCGCAATTCGTCTGCCTTTGACCACCTCGTTCCTCTCCTCTTTTCTCCTCCTGTCTATTCGTTCTTCCTTCCTCCATTCTCCGTCGGGCTTCGTCTTTGGCGCATCTTTCTCTTCTTCTCCTGTCTTTCCACAACCCCCTCTGTCCTTTCATTCTTCACGCGTTTGGATACCCCCGTCGAGTCGTGGGATACCCCTCCGATCTGCTCCCGCTCCGAGCCACCTTCGAACAACTACCGATCCATCCCCGCCTTAGCTCCGACAACTTTCAGGTCATGTACTGAAGCTTCCCTTCTCTCAATCGCCGTCTTGTATCATGTCCTCAGATGCAGCGGCTTTTCCCTCTCCACCGGATTTCGCCCCGTGGGATAATGCCAGGCGTCCTCGATCCCTCGGAGTCATGCCGACAAGCGGGCGGCCAGTCGGACTGGCATCGCAGCAAGTCGGCAACAATCAGAGCGCCCCGGCAAGCCAACCGCCGTTGTTTCCCAACATAAAGGATCTACAGGATGAAGCGGCAGCTTTGGATGTCAATGAGAATGCCTCGGTATGTTTGAGACTTGGGTGTAGCGCTTGCCACGGTGATACTGCAGTTTATACTGATTGAGACCTTTAGCTTAGTGTTTTGCTTGAGCGAGCGCAAGTGGCCATAAACCAAGCCCGGGAGCTTTCCGACAGCGACCAACTAGATCGAGCCTATGTGCAGTACCTTCGTGCCTCTGAAATAACCATCAACATTATTCCCCACCACCCTGACTATCGTGCGACAGCCAGCCAGAGACCGGCTTGGTTCAAGAGATTTGCCGATTTGATGATGGTAGGTCGTCGCATATTCACGCGAGAAGCCTTCTTTAAGCTCTTGGACTATTAGATCGGGGACTAATCTATTGTGGTAGGCGGTGCGGACGAAACAAGGGACGATGGATGATATCAAACAACAGATCGTGGAGAACAATCTAATGACAAACGTGCAACCGGTTGGACCACCGTATTCACACTCAAGCCGGCCAAAGTCAGAAATTCTGAGTAGTGCTGCCTCTTCCGTGAGGAATTCGACGCAGATGCCGATCTTGTCACACCATCAACAAGATTTTGAGCTACAGACAAAGCAGAATCGATACTCTAGTCCTCCATCTGATGCACTCGCACAAAGATTCGCAAAGCTAAGGATGTCACCCCCTGACAGCACTCTCTTAGAGCCCACACAAAACGGGACGAACAATATGTTACAGTCCGCGCCGCAAGTTAATCCGTCGCAAACTTCGGCTCAAGCGTCACCGCAAAGCTCCGTTTTGAGCTCTCCGACACGACGGCCCTTAGGGCCTCGTAGCATGGGATCCCCCCATGGGGTTCCTGCTCTTCCCCCAAAGGATCCTCTCAACACATCCCTTCCACGGGCGCCCGACCCAGCCTATAGTCCGATTTGGACAGTGCCATCACAGGGACCCTCAAACCCGCCGCGGACCTCGACGGAAAGCTCTCGCCCAGTCGACCCACGGTATTCTCAGCTCGCAAACTCACCTCATGGAAGCCCGAGCCGGAATGGGTTTGATGATAATCCGTACCGATCCAGAACCCCAAATGGTGTGCATCAAGTGCAGGAGATCCGAAGCAGCAGTGCTGACCTCCCACACAACACTACGATCACTCCGACGGAGCTACTAGATTACCTCCGCAAATACAACATTCTGCTCATCGATGTGCGGCCCCGGGAGCAGTATGATAGTGGGCATATATATGCTTCTTCAATCATATGTGTTGAGCCGGTGGTGTTAAAGGAAAACGTATCAGCTGAAGAGTTGGAGGAGCGTCTTGTGGTGTCGCCGGAGTATGAACAGTCATTATTCGAACGCCGGAATGAATTTGACATGGTTGTGTACTATGACCAGAAAACATCATCGGTTAGTTATCTTGCTGGCTCTCCCGTTGGCACGACAGCGCCTCATCTCCGAGCGCTCTACGATACGCTTTACGAGTTCAACGCCTATAAACCCTTGAAGGACGGTCGACCACCAGCATTACTTCTAGGCGGCCTCGACGCATGGATTGATCTCCTAGGCCAACAATCACTTGCCACATCCTCCACCGCTGCTGTGATGGGATCCTTGCAGGCAAAGCGACCACTGCGAAGGCCCGGGCGACCGCTTGGAAGAGTGCCTACGATGGTCAGCGCTAACTCTAGCTTAGAGGTCAGGAAACGACGACTGCGCGAGTACAAACCACTGAATAACCAAGAGCTCACTGAGTGGATGGAGAAGTCCAAGACAGAGGAAATTGATGCCAGTACATATGTCGAAGAAGATGAAGAAGCACTGACGGAGGAGCCTGTTGGGGAGGAGGAGGTTCCTGCCTCGCCCTTTGTACAGAATTATGAAGACTTCTTGCGACGCTTCCCCGAACCAGGTGCGATTCAGCAGTCAATGGTGGCACCACACATACGACCGGCGGGCACTGCTGCACCGAATTACGCTGCTCCTGTGCCTGTCGCGCCCTCGCGGCCGCCTCCGGCAGTTCCACGGCCTAGCTATAGCGGCGTTTCGGACGGCCGGCACATCCAACCTACTCTGGAGCGGCAGAGTTCGGCCACGAAAACGGCACTTTACACCCCTCTGTCCATGTTGAGTCGGCTCAAGCTTCCTCGCACTGGGTTGACCAATTTCGGGGTGACCTGTTACATGAATTCGACTCTCCAGTGTCTCAGCGCGACCTTACTGCTGAGCAAGTTTTTCATCGATAATCGGTTTCGGTACTATGTCCAGAAGAATTGGAAAGGATCCCAGGGCGTCATGCCAGGGCTTTTTGCGAACCTGATCCGGTCGCTGTGGAAGAATGATGTTGAGGTAATCATGCCTACCTCATTTCGAAACTTCTGCGGGCGGTTGAATCAAGAGTGGGCGATCGATCGCCAGCAAGATGCCAAGGAGTTCTTCGACTTCGTTGTGGATTGCCTGCACGAGGACCTCAATATCAATTGGCAGCGCAACCAGCTCCGCCCTCTGACCTTCGAAGAAGAGGTGCAGCGGGAGCGGATGCCGGTCCCCAAGGTCTCCAAAATCGAGTGGGATCGGTATTGTCATCGCGAGGAGTCCTTCATCTCCTCACTCTTCGCCGGGCAACATGCGAGTCGATTGCGCTGCACCACATGCAAACGGACGTCCACCACGTACGAAGCCTTTTATAGTATCAGCGTGGAAATTCCTCCGTCTGGAACGGGAGACATCTACCAATGCCTTCGTAGTTATTGCCAGGAGGAAATGCTGAGCGGCGATGAAGTGTGGAAATGTCCGTACTGCAAGTGTGAGCGGGTTGCGACCAAACAGATCATCATCACGCGGGCGCCTCAGATCCTGGTGATTCACTTCAAGCGATTCTCGGCGTCGAAGACGCAAAGTGCGCGGAAGATCCATACCCCGATAGATTTCCCGCTGCATGGGCTGCGGATGGACGATTTCGTGTTCTCGCAGCCAACTCCGACCCCCATTCCGAACGGTCATTCGGCGACCGCACCCTCGGAGACGACGATCGCGACCGCCCCTCCCTTCACGTATGATGCATACGGCGTGCTGCGACATCTTGGGTCCTCGATGAGCAGCGGACATTACATCTCTCTGGTGCGAGATGCGCAGCGACAATGCTGGCGCAAGTTTGATGACGAGCGGGTGACGGATTTCAACCCGCGGGATCTGCGACCGAAGGAGCGGTTGCAGAACGAGCAAGCTTACATTGTATTCTATGAGCGAGTGCCCGCGAAATGAGGGCACCGCTGAGCATCTTCTTTTCCTTTTCCTTGATCCTCCATACCCTCATTTCATTCAAGCGATTATGTTTACAATCTGCTTGATTTTGTGTTACAGTGCCATCCCGTGAGTGGGATGGATCGACGCCAAACCACCGAATCCCGATTGGCATGACATAATTACAACTATTGCCTGCATATTTCTTTTTTCCCCCTTTGCTTTGCGTTGACTGGAATGTTCTCTGGCGAAGACACGACTGCATGATGACTGGCTGTGAGCATGTGACGAATCCTATACCTTGTTTTTATTATAATGCTTAACTTTGTCCCTTGTGATTTAGCCCTCTCCGAGTTTAGATCTGCTTTATAGCATGGATACATGGATGTTGAATAGGTAGCGTTGTGTGTTCAGCGGGAATGAACGGATTGACTGCTTCTGCTCGCACTGGAATAAGCAAAAACGACTACGGAGTACTGGTGACGAACCAGTCGACTAAGTACTTTTAAGTCACCCGGGAATGATGCAGTCAGCTCCGACGGGCTCAGACGCCGGACTCTCCCCCAGACCGGCAAACGGACTTTGCAAAAACTAGGTACGAGAAGGTTCCTGTCATAGGGCACCAGCTCCGACACGCATAGGAAGTATAGGAAAGTCCGTCGCACTACCTAGGACCTAAACAAACCAAACCAGTGGTAGTCCGCCAATCGAGCCAACGAGCACTGGAGCACTGGAGCACTGGAGCACTTTGACTTGATGGATGTGATGTCTAACTCTCTAACTCCCATGGAAGACAATCGAACCTTCGACAC